AAACAATGCGGGAAAAGGATTTGACAAATTGAAGTGAAATTGAAAGAGTGCTGGCAAACCCACCAATGGCCAAAGGGAAAAGGATTCCAGGAAGTATGTTGGTATTGGTGAAGATAAAGTCCAGTCTGAAGGCTTACCAAATGCCAAGGCAACGCATAGCATCCTATAATGATATGCCGCTGTAGTCAATAAGGTACCTTCATTGCCGTTATCTGTACTGTGCTTGGGTTCAACTTTTCCATGGCCTGACTTGGCCTGAAAAAAGGGTGGCTAACACAAGGTTGTGTGGGTTGATCTGCAGTGTTGGATCTTCATGTTTTAAGTTATTATTGAACTGCATAAAATGAGAGAGCAATGAAAAACAAACAAATACAAACTTTTTTTATAACAGAGTTGAATTCACAGCAAAGTCACAGTCAGAGCAGATAGCCCTAGTGCTGGCAGAAAACAAACGAATCTTATCTTCTCTACTGCTTCTTTTTCAAGTTCGGTCTGTACTGGGTCTGTACTGATATGCATGGATATTTTACTTCTGGGCTTGCTATAGATGTACAAGCCTTAATCCACTTTCTGCCGTTTGCATGAATAAGTTTGCATGCTGCAAGTCGCAAAATTAAACAGCAAATTACACTGTTGTAAATGCCCTTTAGAATGACATAGGCGTGTTTTCTGATCTGACAACTTAATTTCTCTGTGCCTTCCCAAACCATTACCATTACAAATCTGTTTTATAAGACGACAACACTATAGTTAAGCTTTGTTTATGTTTAGGCACAAAAAACACTGAGTTAGGGTAACTGATAGATCATAAATCATTAAAATTACTACCCTGTAAGGAAGGAGACCATCATCAAGGTTAAAGAGAGACGTTTTGTTGAGCAGACCTCCTCCCTATGCAGACTTTGTCGCTCTGTAATAAAATAACCTTGCCCATATTTTCGAAGTTGAATTGAATTTCTAAAATCTCAGAAAGAATGTCAGACAAAGGCCAACGACAAGAGAGCAGATTTGATGGTGCACTTTTCTAACTATCCATGTAGTAATGTTGAGATTAAAACGCTGTTAAAGGTCCAGTGTGTAACATTTAGGGTGATCTATTTAGCCCAGAGTGGACAAACCAATCACTGGCTCTAGATAGGGCCTTTTCTGCTGTGTCAAAGCCACTGTGGCTTCTGCTATATGCTTTGAAAGGCTGAGCTATATTCAAATTTGCAAAAAAAAAAATCTGCTGTTTTACAGCATTGCCACTAGATGCCACTGAATCCTACACATTGGTCCTTTAAAGTCAGATGTTCTGCTGACCCAACCTCCCTCTGACTTTGTGTTACTTTATATTTTTAAAGTTAAATTGAAATTCAAGATCTTATCAGACAAAGGTCAAATTACATGAGAGTGAATTTGATACTTTTTAACATACAGGCATGTGGAAATGAAAAAAACTGTTAACCCAAAAAAAACAAATCATACACTTTTGCCCATAGTCCTACAACAGTGGATGACGCAATAAGACTTTTTCTAGCTTACCTTTTGATTTTTGAAGCATTGCAGGTACAGCAGCTTGATTCCCTGCTGGCAGCATATTTTGTCAACTCTCCATGAGTTTGTAATACAATAAGGAAGTGCTACAGGCAGTAAATAATAGATTAATATTTTTATCAAAAAGCTTTGAAGCCGCCAGGATCCAGGTATGGTTGTAACCCCAGAGCTCAGTGTGACAGAGCACATAGTGTTCCATTCTCCACACTTGATTTACTGCTGCGACTGGTTTAAAAGAAAGACAATAGGATTGGTGCTATTGATAATTAGTTTTTAATGTGCCACACTCATCATGTCCAATTTCATGCCCCTTAGGCAGCTGATCACAGATTTAATCAACACATTATTGCTTGCTATACTTAAACTGACTGGAGGGAGGGCCTCTCTGTGTATGTGTGTGTGTGTATGCCGGTAGGAGTGCAGGGGGGACAGAGTGTTAGCGTGTGTTTGTGTGATCGAGGAGCGAGCGGGAGAGGTTGTCAGCATGTGCATCCATCCCAGCAACGTCCTTCTTTGATAGACATTGAATATGTGTTCCGGGCCATTAACCAAGAGCTGCGTTTGAAGATGACGCGCTTGGAAGCGTGTGGTCGTGCAGTGTCGAAGGAAGCCATTGTTATTATTGTGTCGAGGCCGCCCTCACCGTATGAATACAGATGAAAGTGAGGCTGTTATGTCTGTTTTTTAGACCACTCTCATAGCACCTGGGACCTTTTAGTTTTTGGGGGTGTTTTTATACTATGTGATGTTGAATCCTTTTTAAACATGTTTTTGGTCACTTCATCCCATTATACAAATGGTCAGTCTTTCAGCGGTGCGCCCAAATGTTTTAAAGTCATAAGTGCTCAAAGTAGTTTTCCATTGCAGTATATCAATATATAATTTAGATGCACTAGTAGTGTGGATCAATAAAATATCCATTAATCATGCAACCTATGATGTGTAAAATTATTGTATTCACATTAAACAGATATTTATATTAGATAATATCTTCCTTTTGTATTTTGCTTTTGAACAGCTGGAACATATTCATCTTTCTTTGCTTCATTAATAACTTTTGAACTCTAATCACGTATTTTGGTGCTTGAATGCTGCTGGTTTTGTGCCTTCACCACTGCTGACTACAAAGGGACTATAATATGTTGTCAGGCTGGGAAGTGAGTTTAGAGGAAGAGGCAGAAATTCAGACAACTAGAGCCAGTAAGAGTACTGCCTGTGTTTATCTTGAACTACTTAGCTCCCTGGCTGCGAGTCAAATGTGGAGAGAGACATTGGGAGGTAGTGGAGGCCTTCATTAAATGCAGCTCGGGCCCTGGTGAAACCCTGGTTAATGTCCCTATCATCTCTGGAGTGGTCCAGCGTCTAGCTCTCTGTCCAAATGACTCATGTTTAATTCATCTCTGCAGTCCTTGTCATTTAACCTCACCTCTGGAGGTTGTAGGTCGGGGTGGGATAGCAGAGGCTCCCACAAGACCCATAAGGGGCAAAGCGACCATGCAGTTATTCTTCGCCCGCTCTCCATTTACTTAACATGGGGAGAGCTGCTCCATGTCTCGCCTATTGCTGTGTAATCTCCCTAAAGCATAACCCCCTCACCCCATCACACTGTATGAACCTGGACTCAGGGGTGGTCTGGGTTGGCTATGTGGCTCTCTGAAGCACTTCTGCTTCCTGTGTGCTACGACTGAATGTTTAAGCAGAAGACAACTGGTGCTTTGCTGTGAGACTTTATGACTGAGCAGTTTGTTCTTTGGGTTAGCACTTTAGTTTCTAGCTTTAGAAATAGGTTTTCAGGTGAGATCGAAGGCTGTCAAACTCCATTAAACATGATTTTCTATTATTGTATTCAAATTGCGTGGATTTCAATGTGTCATGCTCATTATACAGCTTTGGAAATTGATGCAATTTCTGTGTACGTACGTGGCAGTGACGTGGTCGGACGACCTATACTGAGGCCTTTAAGCTTGCAGAGGCACATGTCTAAGGATTTAAATGAGCAACGATTCCACAAGATACAACTTTACCACAAATGGAGCTGTGTAACAAGATGTAAAAGAGCGGAAATTGTACTCTTTGTTCCACTTGATCTTCACGCTGCATTTTCCTCAGAATTTCCCTGCTCACATGCAAAGGCTGCTTCCCTCTCACTCCTCTTCTCCCTCACTTACACACACCCACTCAATCTCTGCCTCTCTTTCTTCCTCTGAATGATGGTAATTAGAATATCACCATGATTGAAATTTGGCAAAAGTTGAAGAGGAAATAGGTTTTCTAATCAAAAGCTGCCTCGTTGCTGGAATCCTGATGCTTACTTGGCTGAAAAATGTTCTTCAATGATGGGGGTCTAAATGGATGCCAGACTGTATACTGAGGGCCAATGCTGCTCTTTCCCTGCAATGCTGGATTTTATAATGATGTCCCAATTAACCCATTTTAGCCATCTTATTTATTTAGAAGTTTTTGTTTTTGCTGTCATTTTTATGATGGTTGACTCAACAGCAACAGTCTATAAGGCACATGGCACTATTTCTTGGTGGTTTTTTACTATAATAAGGTGTTAGTGTAAATGCTGTTTCATAAGCTTTTGCTCTAAATAAAAATGGTCAACTACTGTATAGAATAAAGATAACAGCAACAAAATCTGATGTTTTCAGCAGTTTTCATTGTGAGTTAGTCATTTTTGGTAAATTTGGGAATTTATTCAGAGGGTTAGACGAGAGGATTGATTCATGTCTGTCTGTTAAAAATGAAGTTGCAGCCAGCAGCCTGTTAGTTTAGCTTAGCATAAAGACTGCAAAGCAAAAGGGAACAGCTGCCCGGACTCTGCCCAAAGCTAAAAGAAAATCCACCTACAAGCACCTCAAAAGCTCACTAGTTAACACATTGTATATCATTTGTTCATTCCTTACAAAATCCCAAAGTGACAAGTTGTGGTTTTACGGGGGGAGCACTGACTTTATGGAGTCGCTGCTGGTTGCTGGGCAACCCCACGCTTTCGCCGATGGTGTCATTCCTGTGTTGATACAGTACCAACATTTATTAACCTGAGCTGACTCTGTTCCTGTTTTAAACTACATATGCAAGGAATCATCAGTGTCTGCCACAGTCAAGAGTTCTTGTGTATCACTGTCTAAAAAAATCACATTCAGTTCAGTTTGTAATTCTGTAAATGTGTGGCATGAAACTAGCCATGTATGGATGAAAGATACCAACTTTACACTTCAACATCTGTCTGTTTCTCAAATCAGCTGTGGTCTTTAAATGATTTTCTTTTTGTAGAGGGGAACAGCATGGAATACTTTCCTTTGCATTCCTACCTGGCTTCTCCTGTACTTTACAAGCATGCACCTATATGCACTGGCAAATTGGGGCAATTCACTTTTAATTGGGGCTTTGGATGCTAACTTCCCTTTCTGTTTTTTTCCCTCCCTTCTACCCTTCCAACCTATCCTCCTTCAACGCAGGAGCTGCACAGTACCCAGGTAAGCCTTCCCTACGTCTGCATTCCTTCTCCTCACCATCCCCTCGCTTCAACACATGCTTCCTCTCAGCATCTATAGTGTTTCGCTATGGTGTTGCGACCAGTCCGCCATCTTTCTCCATTTCAGTTTCTCTCGTTCTCTCTCACATTTAGATAGATCCTGCCTCTCTCTTGCATTCTCCACAGTCCATTTCTTCCAAATCTCATGCTGCTGTCATTGCTGCTGACTGATATGTCTTCAGTTGCTTACCGGTGTTCTAAGTAGCGATAGTTGTAGCATCCTAGTTAACAAGATAGTGCTTAGACAGAACTCAACGATATTAAGAGTTTCCAATACAAAACAGCATTAACTGTGGATGAATACCTTTGTAAGTAATAATATTGGAGTTTCCAGTGTTTGTTTTCTGTTTGCACACACACTGCATATATGTTCTTAGCTGTCCCTGCATCTTTATAGTAGTTGCTAGTGATATAGATATTTGTTTAGACCAATGACATTCTGTATATTTTAATAAGTACAAAATATTTCATTATTCATTCTTGAGCTATTAACATTGCTATTCAAGTCAATACTAATACTAACAATCAAGTTTAACTATGGGTTTAAGTCATTTTGGGAATAACAATAATAAATATATTTATGTCACTTCTTACCTATGTTACACATCAGGGAGATAATAACTAATTGGAATAAAAACAGATACAAATAAAAACCTTTTCCAAAAACTCTGACAAAAAGAAAAGTTTTGAGACTAAAAGAAGCGAGAGATTCAGTATGTATTAGTTGATTAGGCAGTGATTTCCATCATGTGGGGGCTCTAATAGCAAAAGCCCGATCACCCTCTGTCGCACACTGTAACCTGGGAGAATCCAGCAGGGCTTCATCCACAGATCTCAAGGCTCAAGAGTGGTAGAGAAACGTATGTGCAGGAAGTGCAGAGATTTGGCTCTGACAACTAGAGACAACCAACTTCCTCTCGACATTCTGCAGTGTAAGTTTGGACTTGCAGCAGTTTGTAGGCTACACAGTGTTGCTTACAGTGTCAGTACACTTATAGAAATGTGACGAGGTTTGTAACAAGCTTTAAAAGAGTCGAAAAGTAGTGAAAAATCCAGGCATCAGTTCTTTTTGAATCTCCTCTGTCCATTCAAACCCCTGCATGTACTGTACAGACATAAAGCAGCACATTATCATTCATAAACAACGGAGCAGCAAAGAGAAATACTGTTTTCATTCACTAATTAATTCCAGTCACTACTCCAGCTACATGTTCCTGCTACTGTTGATTAAACTCTTGCATATGTTTCAATTTAAAAGCCTGCCAGGATTGCACACTTTGAAACATCTGTGCAGGAATTGTGGAGGATCAGTAAAAGTAGCTTAACAAAGATCAAAACAAGTATCCAAAATTAACCAGCGAGTGTGAACATGACCTTTTTCTCTCAGAGCGACTCTTCCTGATGTAATTAGTGCTTGGAAATATACTTTATAGTAAATATATAAGGCAACAGGTAACCATGAAGGTGTTGCATTTGCATGACCAGCAAACTGACTGGAACAATTCAGGAAACCAGGGTGTCTTATAAACTACATTAAAATAAAAAAACAATGAATAAATGTCTGTCGCCAATACAATTGTTCTTTCTGCAGTTGAAGTAAATAAAATCCATGGCTTTTGATAAGTTACAGTAGTTTAAGTTTTGAATGATAAAAATAATTTAAAAAACATTATTTGTCTGGTCAGAATGTGCTTCTATAAAAAAAAAGTTTGCTGTAAATCAAGTCATGCTGCCTCTCTAGCTGCCTTCACTCCCCCTCTCCCCTGTATCTCCCCTCCACCAAGCCTTTTAATCCAATTAGCATTGCCAGCGACAGTTATTTATATGTACATGAATTAGAATTGAACAGTAAGAGATCCTCCCTCGGGGACGATTGGACGGAGCCCAGTCCTTCACGGGCCTGTTCTCGGTCACAAACCTATGCCGCTGCCACCAAGCAGTGGTGGTCCCTGCAGCTGAATGCCAACAAAGCAGCAACAGAAACTCACACCAACGTGCACTGCCAATGACAATCATCATCTCATCTGAGTTTAATGTGAAAACCCTCAGCGCACGCTTTTTATCCTCGGCAGCGAAATGCTCGAAAATATTGTTTCATCTCCTCAGTGTTATCTTTTCTTAAACTGTCAAGACTAAAAGAATATTTGACTCACTCAAATTGGGACACTCTAATAAGCCGTCTTTTCAGTGTTCAGGTTCATCTTAGATCTGTGTTTCTGTTGCATTCCATTGCGTTGGGCTGCAATGTGCCAAATGAGTAAGCTGCCAAATATGGCTCGCTCACCCTTTTGAACTGTTTGCCAATGATTGCAGTACTTCAGAGGGTTTGAAAAAGTCATATCGCAATATTGGCAGCATAAGCCTTTAATGGTTTTTAATACAATATGTTTGGAGTACATTTTTAGAATTTTTCAAAAGTTGGATTCATTATTGATGCCCTTTTTAGTTAAGTCACGCAGACGTTAATGTTTACAGTTGTTGATGTGCAAAGTCACTTGCATAATTACACGCTTAAAGTTAATTAAAGGCAGTTAAAGAACTTGATAAAAGTTTCAGACAGCATCTTTCAATCAACCCTAGAAGTGCATTTGCTTTTGATTAATCTTTATTTATTCTCACTTTGGCATAACAGTCTTTCCTATGTGCCAAGTTTTTTCTAAGTGTTGCCTACACAATAAATAAAACCAAAAATAAAATGTAATAAAAGCAACTAAAAATATCACATGTATCAAAACTAAATAAAAACAAAGATGCAATATTTCCAAGATTTATATTTACTTCATGAATGTGTAGCCAAAGCCATGCTTGAAGAGTTCCAGACCTGTGTTATCTTTGTCATGATTCTCCAAGTCTGTGGCACTGTGCTGGAGGGATTTTCATGATGCCATAGACAATGATGGATCACTAACTGGATGAAGCAGGCGACTGACGCAGGGGCATTTGTCACTATTTTCTGTGATTTTATCCACTAAAATATAAATATATGAATCAAGAAAATAATATACAGATTAATTTCACAAGGGGATTAATAAGGACCTGTAGTCGTGTTTTTTTGCGCAGGCCCCCCTACCAGGGTAATCTGGCCCTGCCCTGTGGGTGTTCAGTTGACTTTAGATTAGTGACTGAGGAGGTCATATCATATGACTCTCATCATTTTCATGCTTCATGTGCCCTGCGTGGAGACACATTCGCTGTGTTTCCCTACTCATTTATTGATTTGTACTTGTGTGCTGCCAACACTTAAATGTGAATTAATGCCATTTTACATACACAGTTAATACAAAATGGTCCACAAACAGAGCCTAATTACCTTAAGATGTTCGGTTTGTGTGTAGCATTACTCACAAAGTCAACATTACAACATTACACACTGAGATTGATCAGAGAGATTACTGTGAAACCATTGATCAGAGAGATTATTGTGAAACCATCCACAAGCAATGGATGAATATAAGAAACAAAGACTGGAACATTCATTAACAGAGAATCAGCAGAAAACTACTGTACTGTACTACTGTCTCTAAACCATCTGTCCAGAATAGTAATATATTATTAGTAGTAGTAGTAGTATCAAAGATGGATTGGAAACTTAAGGCAGAGCATGAGAATTTAGGTACAACAGGTTATTCCTTTCACTTCCCTGGAAAAAAGGCCCGGAGAGCGAGTAAAATATTTTTTGTTTTTAAAGTGCTTCCTTGGTTGACCTGCCGCTACCAACAAGACATCTCTGGTGTGGGTGACTAGTGTATTTGTTCTGTATGCCAATCAATAGAATGGAAGACATGAGAGGATGGAGGTGGGCTGAGGGACGCTGCATTTAAACACAAGGATTGTTATCCATATGTGCACAGAGAGAGGCTCTTTAAACACGCACAATGCATTTATGTGTGTGCACACAAGCACACACACACACAGACAGTGTACAGCTCAGATTAATGACTAAATCAATCACACGCATACAGTGTTTGCTTGTCATCCTGTATGCTATTCTTTCATAACACAGGTTCAATTTCCCAAGCTACTGAAGCTCTATCAGCGTTTCCTCAGAATATGTATTCGGCAAGGTCATCTCTCACTGCACCAAGAAAATTTCCCGACCTCAGGATGTGTCTTTGCTATTGCAATGTCAATAGTCCCCAGTCCAATGCCTTGCAATCTACATTTGTCAATACACGCGCTGCTTAGAGCCACACTGTGAGCTGAGGATGCAGCTCATTCATCAGATAGACCTTGTTTTGACTCCTGTTGACTCATAGATTTATTCAGGTAATAACTGGACACATTTTGAATCTTATTCAAGCTCTCATGTAGTGAAATGTCTACAGATAAAACTGGTCAAGGTCAATTTTTTACTGTTTGCTAGTTACTAAATTAGGAAGCCAAATCATTCAAAAGTTCCAACTATAGATTCTGCCAGGAAGATGACTAAATGAGAGTGAGACAATTAATAAAATCTAGAAGAGGAAACCTCATGCTATAAAAAAAATTGGACTTTATCGGGAACAAAGAGGGCGAACTCTGTAGTGAAGGGACGCACAGAGCTCTGTTAAAGAGCTCTCATGCGGGCAATTCCATCTGCTCGGAATAAACTACAAAGACAAAGTTAGAGGACAAATAAGGGTGCAAAAGGGCAAGTGCAATTATTGTAATGCATGTTTTTATTTATTTGTTGATAAATTCTTAACATATAAGGCTGGGGTTGTGTTAGTCACTGAATACTTTACTTCTTCCTGACACTGTCAGTGGTACTCCGCACCATTGGTGTAGTAAAGATGTAAATCTTCAAAATCCTGTTTTTTTGGCGTGCCTTTGAAGAACAACTCCATTTTATCGCCCACGTCCTCTAACGCAACCCAACTGTTTCCAGGATAATTGAAGTGCTCGCTTGCACTTCAGCTCAGAAACTTTGTCTCTACCCTCCGTCCCAATCACTGCCGGATT